ATCCTAGACATTAGCGACTCCCCCCACTGGTGTACAACCTCAGCCCTAGAATATTGCTTCTCGTTTAAATTATGAAATGGAAGTTCAACTCACCCACACGTCGGTTGCTGTGGCTATATGGATTGGCACGTTGATTGTGTTTTTCAAAAAAAGATTCCCTCTGGTTGTCCTTCCAGATTTTTGCGTTTCTTTTCTCTTTCTTGTTTTCCTTCCTTTTCGTCTATCCCTATCCAGGGTTTTTTTTTTTTTTTTTTTTTTTTTTTCTGTACCCCAGCAGGTCTTATCTCCTACCGAACCGGAAGAGGACTCGGAAGGAAGTGACCCAGATCTGACTCCAGATGCTTGGTGGAGAGCCACCCTCGCCAAGTATGCATGGCTCGGGGAATTCCCAGCCCCATCAAGGCCAACCAAGGCACTCATCTCTACTCTAAACAAGACTATCCTATAAGAAGTAGGGAAATGGGTGGAATCAGGAAAATTCCCCCACCTCACGAAAGTGATGAGGTTCAACGAGGGGGCAGAGTTGGCTTGGACCTTCGAGAACGATAGGGGTGCGTTGGAAGGACTGATCGAACGGTATGCGGGGGATGCAATGAAGATAGCGAAGAAGGACGATAAGGTGGATCGTACTATAGAGCTAAAAACGTCCGAAACGGAGAAGGTCTGGTTAAAAGCCTGGGGGCTTAGATCGACTCACCTTGATTGGGTCATGGCACGCTATAATGCGGAGGAGATAGATGGAGGGGCATCGATGCTGGATGTTTTTAACCTGAATGAAGACGAGAGGATGGAGGTGGACTTCCTTACTGCACCTGGAGTGGATTTGTCCAAGAGGCACATAAGACCCACTGCTCGGGACTATGAAAGACATGCCTTCCTTCCCCTAGCGAGTTCTCCAAGTCATTGGGTGGAAGAGATGTCGATTTCCCTCCAGCACAGGACATAGAGGCTTGAATCCTTCAACCATCTGGCCCCGGTCGGGATCAAGGCATTTAAGTTCCTGGCAGGGGCGAAGAAGAAAGACCTCGAGGAGTGTTACAACAGTGCTCTGGAAGGTGTTTTTGTGTATGGAGGCGCGAAGAAAGCTCCGCATAAAGGAGGGCGTATATCTTTCCCGTCGCTGCAGGAGCCGGATCCGGAGAAATGCAAGTATCCCAAGCCAGTGGTAATGCAGAAGACATGCCCGCAAGGGGTAGGGAGGGACTTGAACGCTTTGAAGAAATAATGGAATATTGGTAGACCATACTTTAAGTGCAAGTGCGGTTACCAGAACTCTCGAAGGTGTGAAGCCGGCCTACTCTGGTTCGATCAGGTTCTATGGTATCTTTTCGCGTACCCCGAAGTGATCGTTCCCACGGCCAACTCAAGAAAGGCAAGGTTCGTGATGGTGCTCCGCCACTGTCGCGGTACTTGGCGCCCTCTCATGCTGGCGAGCATAACATTCATCTACGTGCGCCACTTCATGATGCTGGTCTCTCAGGCACTGCAGCGCAATCCGAGTTGCAGCCCTGAGCAGTTGTTGAAGAGGCACCTCATGTCAAGTACCGTTCCTCGCTTGCTGGTCAAACACGCGCTACCCGCAAAGCCAGCCCGGAAGTCATCCCGAACCGGCGTGGTAAATCCGGACCCGAAGAGAAGAAAATCGTTGGATCTCCCGGGTCACCAGGCTCTTCCCTTTGGGCCAACCACGAAGGAGAAGGACCCGGTCTTAACCCCGGAGGCCTCCTCGACGTCCGCAGATCCGTCTCCTCCTGGTGCACGAAGATCGTTGTCCACTGCAAGCGCAACCTCGTCGTCTGCAGGATCCGCCGTCACGGCGTAGAGGTGACGCTCTACCGGGAACCAGCCCAACTCCGACTATAGGGTTGATAACCCATAACCGGAGAAGCACATCGAGGAAGTAACTCAGAGACTGTCCCCTTCCGGCTAATTAATGGTCTTAGTTCTTTCGTCATGTGTGAAATTATTAATTGCTTCTATGGTAGGAACTAATATGCGTATGCTCTTGTGTTCTTTTTGTGTGTTGTTTTCTGTATTATTGTGCGGTACGTTTTACTTTTTACTTTTTGAGTTTCGGTTCTATGTTCTGTTTTGTTTTTTTTTCTTTTCTTTTTTCCTCTTTTGCCTACCATGGCTCATAGGCTAGGAGCGGCTGCATTGGCCTTGCTCCCTCTATAAGGGTTCGATGGATCAAGACCTCTCCTTTCGAGGGTAGACTTATATACGTTCATACGGTCTACACAAGCAGGTTGTTTGAAGCTGTTAGCCTCAGGAAACTGTTTTCCACTGCTGTTGCCCTGGTTGCGCCTGATGCCCTCGGGGCTTTCGAGAAAGTAGTCTTCGGTTGGAGATACGAGGATCGCATCTTGACTTGTTTGTATAGGCCAGCGGATACCTTTAGGGACTTTGAGCTGACAGCATGGCAGGGTTCACTGAGACCTAACCAATGCCCCTGCGCCACGACGAAGTTCAGACCCTTCCATCGGATGGGGACTGCGGATATGGTAGATGAAGCCGACAGGCAGCAATCACACGTACTGACTCTCGATCCGCGAATATCCTCCTCCCCGACAGTCCGAGTTTTGCTCGAAGCTGGTCTGAATCATATACCACCCTAGCCTCTGGACATCAAGAAGGCGCTGTACTAGGTCCTTTTGGCCTGGAGATTCTTGAAAACGGTTGTTGATGATTTTTCTGCTCTCTCAGAGGACCAGCTTCGTGCAGTTGAATTTGTTGCCCTAGCCTACGGTAGGAAGCAGTTCCAAGCGTCTTCCAAAAGGAATAGGCATGTCTCCATTCAAATGGTAGACGCCTTCCACCTCTAACGAGAAGCGCAGTTTCTAACGAGCAAATTTTTTATCTGTTGCACAGACAAGGCTCAACACACCCCCACCATCATGTGCAAGAATCTCGTCAGCAAGTTGGTCTTCAAAAAAAGGATGGAACCTCTTGATTGCATTCTCCAAAATGCGCATAACCACATGATGGAGTTGTGCCCAATTCTATTTCCTGGACCTATGAAGCTCCCGTACCTCATGTGCATCTTTAAGAAGCATAAGGGTTCATTCCGATGGCTTACTAATGCTGCAAACTGTTTGTTCTCTCCTTTAGCTGAATTGTGTGCAGATATTCTTGCGCTTCTGAGCATTGAAGTCCAAGGATACTGTCGGGATAAGAAGAAGCATATCAGGACCTTCCATGCACTTGATTCGAATTTGTGGTGGCCCATTGACTCTATTTCGGAGTACTATGCAAATCTTCCCAAAGCAATTTTTTCTGTCTTTTCTGCAGATATTAGCAGATGTTTTGAAGCCATCCCCACTAACGATTCTGAGCATGGACTGAGGGACGCGTTGTGTTTTTTTGTAAAGATGGCAATAAGACATAGGCGAAGGACTGAATCATCTTGCCACATTGGCATCAAAGTTTGCAAAAAGGCAAGATAATATGTCGGTGGATCGCAGATGCTTCGTCCACTACATATCTGACTCTCACGACAAAGCAGATTGTGGATATGAATGTATGGTTGACACAAAACAATGTCATCCAATTCGGAAATAAAGTCTGGGAACAAAAAACGGGCATCCCCATGGGTTTCCCGTGCTCACCTATCTGGTGTAACATTTTTTTTTTTTAAGTACGAATTCTTGGCTATGATGAGGTTGCTCAGGACTGGTCATGGTCACCTACTGGAAGCATTTGCTGCCACAATGAGGTATATGGATGATATCAACTCTCTCAACAACAACTTCATTGACAGATTCCTTGACCCCAGTCAGGAGATGACTGAGTCAAATCCTTTATGGATCTACCCCCTCCACCTCATTGAAATCAATGCCAGAAGAAGGGCCACATAAATGGAGCGGGGGACTAAGTGAACTTCCTCAACATGACCATTCAAGTGTTGAGTGAAAAAACTGGTAAAATTTGACTTTGAAGCACGACAAGACAGACCAACTCAACTTCAAGATCTGCTCATATGTCCGCTTTGACTACAACAGACCAATTGGTCAATCTCTAACAATCCTGATCCCGCTTACTGTATGTACAATGTTGGTCTGCTCCGAAGCCTCGGATGCTGCGGATGACATACAGAAAATGGTCAGGAAATTTGTGGGCAATGGGTTCAAACCTCGAAGATGTTGGGGGATGATAAAAATAGTCCTGAAGAACCCAATACTTTTTCAACCATTCAGAACTGACCAAGATGCCACTTTTGACATCTTGAAGGCCCGTGAGCCTTTGTTTTTGTGAAAAGCGTGATAAAAGTATTGTGTCGGGTGCGTGTGATGTTGTGCTTCCTTTTGGAAGGTACCCAGTTTGGGGGTTTGCCGGGCAGGCAGATCCCCTCCTGGGTATCTGCCTGCCCCTACCCAAACCTGGGGGGATTGGGGTGGGACACACACACACACACACACACACACACATACACACACGCACGCGCTCATTTTTATTTATTTATTATTTTTTTTTTTTTCTCTTCCCCCTGTTTTTTGTATCTTCCTCAAAAGGGAGTACAACGCGAATTAAGGGAGCAGTGGGACTTTGGAGGCAAAAAACGCAGGGACGAAGGGACATATTTTGAAGCGGCGCAAATGGCTTTCTGAATCAGCGCACAGTTACAGGAGCCTTAAATGATTTAATCGAACGGCTGTAGCTATCGGACGAGAAAACGTGCCTGGCTGAGTTTCTCGAGAAGTATTGAAAGCGGTCTACCCGGTATCATAAGTCGCGCACGGTCTAACTATATCTAGGACTAATGACAAACGACATAATCCTCATTCTACTAAGCGCGATACTGAGGGTGCGCTTGGCAAAGGTGATTGATAATTTGCTGCTCAGTCTCAACTGTGTTCGGAGTTACGCACGGTGCCATGGAAGATGTCGAGTTGCCTTTCAGCATGGAAGGACTGCCAGATCCGTAGGATCAAGTGGTATTATCCTCCTTCCCCTACTTTCCGTGGTATTGGCTGTGTGTGGCTTGACTGTGGTTTGTGCAGGTTCCCTCTGACGAGCTATCCGTGTGGCGCAGCGGCGAAAAGCGCTTCAGGGAGATGCCACCTCCTCTTCTGCACATCCCTGGTTGTACGAGAGTGTCTGACTTGTGGCGGAGGCAAAAGGAGATTTATGAGTGGACGGTTGTTTTTTTACCTCTGCCGGCTCACCACATGTATAGCGCTCTCCATCCACGATTCTTCTTTGCGGTTTTAGAGGCACGGAGCCGCCGTTCTCTAGTATAGAGTTGCCTCATTTAGACGACGCTCCCTTGAAGGTTACAAGTCGGGAGGATTCAGGGGCATTGGATCTGAGGTCTGGTACGTAGTTGTAAGTGCGAGGAATGATGGCATGGGTGGGTTGTACTTACACAGAGTTGTTGAGGGAGTGATTTACTTCTACGTTTCTGAGGCATAATTTTTGGACTGGCGGAGGTAAGGAGTCGGGGGGGAGGAATTTAGTGAAAAATAAGGATGATGGAGGCATACCTATACTTCCAGAATTGATAGATGGATTAGTCTGTTCGGACTCATGACTTTCGATGCTTGAAGGGAGCGCTTCGATCGTGATTCACCATTGTGCTTGAGCAGTCCAGTTCTTCGATTCTCACGCTTAATATAGGCTCCGACACTGCAGACGAAGGAGGGAAGGAATTTACCTGAAATAGATGATGATAGAGGCATGTCTATTTTTGCAAGAGTAGGTGGATGGATTGGTATGCTTGGACTCTCTACTTTTTGAAGCGCTTCGATCAAGGATCGCTATTGCGCTTGAGTAATCGGGTTCTTCTATTCTGGTTCACGTGCTTAATAGTTGCTTCGACATTGCATACGTAGAATGAACGCGGAGAAGGGAAATGAGTAGACTGGTAGAGGCAATCTCATGTGGGATGTATGATTCAACGTACCTATCAAAGTAAAGGCATGTCTGGATGATATTCTTTTGCTCTTGTATTTCGCTGTAAGTTCTGGTTTCGACGGAGCTAGTTCTTCTTATGATTAGGCAGGATGGATTATGACATCGCCATATGCATGACCACTTCTTGCGTTGTCATGTTGATTGCCTTCCTGGCCGTTTCAGGGACGGATAAGGGCTGCGGTAGAGTGCCTGATCGGACAAATCGAGATTGCCGACAGATTTTCTTTGCGAATAATGACGCACTGATGGGGGAGCTGCTAACGTTGGTGGGGCAGTTTATAGTAAGGTTGCTGGAGGGTGGCGACGTATGAACGTGATTAGTTGTTCGGCATCCTAGTTTTTTAACTTCATCAGGCTTTTTCTACACGGCATTGTCTATGATCCATATGATGTTCAGTTAAAAAAAAAAAATCTCATGGGTGGTCTTTCATGGATATGGTGATCTTCGTGTTTTTCTCTTATATGCTTGCGATTTTTCTTGAAATCATGATTCCTGGTTTGAACAAGTTGTTCTGCAAAATGACCAATGGCATGTTGTCCTTTAATAAAAAGCAGGCTATGTATGTAAGTTGTACGTCTCTCGATTCTTTATGGGGTTGCAGCGAAAAAAAAACTTGAGATAGCCCACCGGGCCGTTGTTTTACGGAGTCATAGCATGCATACTAGGCGTACAGTATGATACACACACACACACTCTTGGAGTTGTGCACAGTGAATATGACAAAACATAAAACACAACATAATCACTACCGTACCCTTTCCCAACCACATGAACAAATAAACTATGGGCTGCACACCTGTGCCCTCACGGTAAGTCAATTCCCTATACATGTTTTCAAGTCGTAGTCTTTTCTATCAAATTTAGGGCTTCCCTGTCAGCTCTCATGCCGTCGTTTGATTACAAGTCAAGACCCGGGCATCCAACAACATTCCAGTTTCCAACAATTAGCATGTTACTTCCCTTCGGCAGGTAGTAAGGAAGCATTTAAAAAAAAAAAAAAAAAAAAATTCCCTCTCACTTCATTAGGTGCATAGATTGTGGCAAAAAACTATCCCACACCTCCTATTAGCAACTTAACCCACACACCATCATCCCTAGAGCTCACAATCAAAGTCTGACAGTGACTGCCTCATTTTTTTCAGTGAATTTGAAATGGCCAAGCTTCCCTTTCCTAGGGAGACGAGAGTTGGGGACCATCCCACCACTCTTGAAGCTGGGCAAGCTCATCTTTTGACAACTTGGTTCCCTACATCATCATCACATGAATGTCCTTATTATGCATACATGACTTGAATCTTCGACCCTTCTATCTACATCCTGTGTAACCCAATCCCCTTAGATTCAAAATTGATACTCACCCATCAAGGTCAGGTGTCAGATCTGCAGCATAGATACTCGGTGTTGGTAGTGGGGATCCCTCCTTGCCTTGTGCTCGTCCGCGGCTGCACCAGTATACTACCAACAACCGGTAAGACGATGTAAGTAAAGATTGGATGATAGATAACTTGATTTGGGCATGTTTAGGTTGAGGTCAGCTAAGAACACTACGGAAACACCTGGCTCAAGGATGACCTGTGAGAGGACGTCTAACCCCATCAATCTGATTCCTGCCCAGGCCTCTCACGAAACACGGGCGTTAATGAAAAAGACTGTGCATCTTGCTCTTCTGTTCGCAGCCCGTCAGGGTTGCGTTTTCCCCCCTGAGAACATTTTTCGTCGTCGTTCATTATACGGTCGTTGGAAGGCTGAAAAAGCAAGGCATGGCAGTTTAGGGGGTGGTGGCATCTTATTTGAAACTGCAGGACCGGTAGTACCGCACGGGTTTTGGTCCAGGACCGCGCAGGACCGGTAGCTGCGAGTAGGAGGCCGAGGAGGCCGCATTCCTTTTTCGAAATTGAAATGGTGCGGGTAGTCCTTTTTCGAAATTGAAGGGGTGCGGGTCCTACACGTTGTATTCGAATACAACCTGTACCCTTTCTATTGGGATTTCAAAAAGAAAAAACTCTTGTATTCCGATAAAATTACTTCTT